AAAAAAAAAAAAAAAAAAAAAAAAAAAAAAAAAAAAGAAACAGGAGACACACTGAATCACTTAGCACTGAAGCCAAAAGCTGGCTAAAACCTGTCACTCAGATCCAAAGGGCAGATAAAAATAATGCTGCTATTCAGCATGCTCAGGAAAGACAGGAGACATATTTATTTTGCCTTCTTTTATGAACCTGGACTAAAAACAAGGACTGATATGAAAAATAACAAACACGAGTGTAGTACAGTATGTGTTCCTATATGAGGATGCTTCAAAAAGTTTGTGGAAAAATAGAATTAAAAGATAATATAAATCTTTCCATGAACTTTTTCAAGACTCCTCACACATCAAAGTTATTTGGCCATTACAGTCATAATCCTGGCACCATTTCTTAAAGAATTAAACATGCTAACTTTGTTTAAATAACTGAGATTTTTGTTTATATACAAATGTACATATAGACTCAAAGGGGAAAAAGTAAGAGAAAAAACACACCAAAATGGTAACAGTGATAATACTTGGGTTTGAGACAATACATTATTTATTTTCGTCTGCAGCTGTCATTATTTTATACAGTGAGTGTACATTACTTTTATTATCAGCTAACGCTCACACAATAAGAATCTCACTCATAAGCCATGGTCTCCAGGGAAGCCTAACCAGCCCAATCTGGGAGACAAAAGGCCAGAGGTGGCTGCAGGTTTACTACAGAAGAGCACTGGGGGCCGGCCCGGTGGCGCACTTGGTAGAGTGCGGCGCTTGGGAGTGTGGTGGCGCTCCCGCCGAGGGTTCGGATCCCATATAGAGATCAGTCCGCTCACTAGTTGAGCACAGTGCGGACGCGACACCGAGGGTTGCGATCCCGTTACCGGTCACAAAAAAAAGACAAAAAGGAAAAAAAAAAAAGAAGAGCACTGGAAGTTCCACTATTTTATGTTTTAAGCATATGACTTTAAAAAAAACCCCTAAATTAAATATATTTGACATTTAAACTGTTAAATGCTTAACAGACAGGTTGCCAAAAAACATACTTTCTAATAATTCTATAAAATGATCTCTTACTGTTTCTGTGAACCAGGAGGAACATTATCTTTATTACTCTCACCTTTTTCACGATCAAAGATTTTACAGGTATGTCAAAAGTGCCATTTTTCAAAGGAACTGAAATAAAATTCGTATAGGATCTCACAGTGAGCAAAGACAAGTAGGTAGAAGATCACGGCACTGACAGAGATTGCTCCCTGGCACTCACTATGGAAACAGTCTTCACTGACTACTTCTTTGCTAAAACCAGAATATACCAGGTCAAAGGTCCACTTCATAACTTGAAAGTTCCCCAACAAATATTTTAATGGGCTAAGGAACAACAGGAATTTCAGGATGTGTTTCAGAACGATGGTTCAAATTCTAGCAAAAATAAATTTCCAGCCCACCCAAAAGCATAGAAATTATATTGAATTATGTGTTTTACACAGAAATAAGGAAAGGTAATTAGGAAAAAAAAGTGATACTGTTCACTCTCTCTCAACAAAGGCTGCAATATCCCTCATCCTAAAGAAATCACTTTCTGAAGATACACAAATGGCCAACAGACACATGAAAAAATGCTCAGCATCACTAATCATCAGGGAAGTGCAAATCAAAATCACACTGAGATATCATCTCACCCCAGTAGCTATTATCAAAAAGACAGAATAACAAATGCTGGTGGGATGCAGAGAAAGCAGAACCCCCCTACACTGTTGGTGGGACTATAAATTGGTGCAGCCATTATGGAAAATAGTATGGAGGGTCCTCAGACATTACAGACAGAACTGCCATAAGACATAGCAATTCCACTCATGGGTATATACTCAAAGGAATGGAAATCATCGTGTCAAAAGGATACCTGCAGGGCCAGCCCATGGCTCACTTGGGGAAGTGTGGTGCTGATAACACCAAGGCCACGGGTTCGGATCCTATATAGGGATGGCTGGTTAGCTCACCCGGGAGAGTATGGTGCTGACAACACCAAGTCAAGGGTTAAGATCCCCTCGCCAGTCATCTTTAAAAAAAAAAGGATACCTGCACTCCTTTGTTCATCACAGCTGTATTTACAACAGCCAAGAGTTGGAAGCAACCTAAATGTCCATCTTCAGACAACTGGATAAGGAAAATGTGGTATATTTACACAATAGAATACTACTCTGCCATAAAAAAGAATGGAACACTGCGATTTGCAGCAACATAGATGAACTTAGAGAAAATTATGTTTTTTTTTTCTTTTGTCCTTTTTGAGACCGGCCGCACCGCGCTCAGCCAGTGAGCGCTGTGAGTGCACTGGTCATCCCTATATAGGATCCAAACCCACGGCGGGAGCACTGCCGCACTCCCAGCGCCGCACCCTCCTGAGTGCGCCACGGGCTCGGCCCGAGAAAATTATGTTAAGTGGAATAAGCCAGGCACAGAAAGAGAAATATTGCATGTCCTCACTCATAAGTGGGAGCTAAAAAAAATAAACAAAAAAAGAAATATAAAACAATCACAATAATATACTGAACTCTGAAAAGGAGAGAACAGAATTGAGGTTACCAGAGATGGGAAAGTAGGGAAGGAGACACAGGAAGAATTGTTAAAGGGCCACAAAAAACAATTACATTGCATAATGTTGAATACAGTAATTATCCTGATTTGAGCATCACATATTGCACACAGGTATTAATATTCAACTCTGCACCCCACAGATATGTACAATCAACTACGTTTAAAAAAAATAAATCACTTTCTAAGAAATTCTTATTTCTATGCTCTAATATATATGCCAATAGATTTAAGGGGTAGAATTCTTTTCAAAGAAGCAAGAAGGGAATGTAGCCCTTACATATCTGGATGGCTCTTCTAGGTTCTGGTCATTCATGTTTGTGGGAACAATCCGTGTGGCTAGAGGTCCCTCCGCAAAAGGTTTTGGTAACTGGCCTCTGAACTCTGACGGAATGAACTGAAGCTGCCAACTGTCAGAAACACAAATAAGGAGAACAAGAAAAACACAGGAGGACCATATTGCTAAATGTCCTTGACACAAGCAAACCAAAAAAAAATGATGTGAAAAACATTTCACTTGAAGAAAAAATATTTTTGTTAAAACCTCAACCAGGGAGCATAGAGGCAGAGGTCACAATTCAGTCCAAAATCATTGAGAAATTTGTATTTAGAAGTCTCTCAACCCATTCCACCAACTCTTAGCAGCAAAGTTTGGAACCAAACGGTCATACCATCAAACAGCCAGAGAATTGTCAAAGTTTATTACCAATTACCATGTGATCAGAGGACTTATCAAAATTAAGGCAAATTCATCAGATGTATAGAAAAAGGGTGAAGTGTTACATGAGTAATAAGGCACTAAGAACACACTATGGGAGAAATACTTTGTTCCTGAGTAACCCTAAAAAGTTCTTTAGCTATGACACTATTTCAAATGTAAAAGGCAAAGGCCAAAGTCAACACCTAAAAAACAAGTTTTAATTTAATCATTAAGAGTGGACTTTAAATGTTCTCACCACAAAGAAATGATAAGTATGTGAGATGATGGGTATTTTAATTAGTCTGATTTGATCATTCCATATCAAAACATCACATTGTGTTCCATAAATATATACAATTATTATTTGTCAATTAAAAAATTTAAAAATTAATAATAATTTAATCATTAATGACTGATACGGGGTTTTCATTAAGCACAAGATACTACCTACCATCAGATAAAGCTAGCTGCTGAAGCCAGTACTCGAATGGAGCAAAAAGACTCATCTTAACCAGATTTCCCTTTCGTCAATTTTTTTTTGTTTTTGGTTTTGGTGGCTGGTCAGTAAGGATATCTGAACCCTTGACCTTGATGTCATTAGCACCATGCTCTAACCAAGTGAGCTAACTTGCCAGCCCCTCGCTTTTATCTAAACAGGCCGAATTAAGCAAAATACAAAGAACTCTAGGGTCTATGCTATCGCACCAAAGAACAGACAGCATAAAGGAAACTATAGGTGTCTTAACAGTAGCTTTACCCAGTGTCCATATGTTGGAAGAGAATTTTCACTGCCCGAGGGTTGCGATCCCGTTACCGGTCACAAAAAAAGACAAAAAGGAAAAAAAAAAAAGAAGAGCACTGGAAGTTCCACTATTTTATGTTTTAAGCATATGACTTTAAAAAAAAAGCAAAGGCCAAAGTCAACACCTAAAAAACAAGTTTTAATTTAATCATTAAGAGTGGACTTTAAATGTTCTCACCACAAAGAAATGATAAGTATGTGAGATGATGGGTATTTTAATTAGTCTGATTTGATCATTCCATATCAAAACATCACATTGTGTTCCATAAATATATACAATTATTATTTGTCAATTAAAAAATTTAAAAATTAATAATAATTTAATCATTAATGACTGATACGGGGTTTTCATTAAGCACAAGATACTACCTACCATCAGATAAAGCTAGCTGCTGAAGCCAGTACTCGAATGGAGCAAAAAGACTCATCTTAACCAGATTTCCCTTTCATCAATTTTTTTTTGTTTTTGGTTTTGGCGGCTGGTCAGTAAGGATATCTGAACCCTTGACCTTGATGTCATTAGCACCATGCTCTAACCAAGTGAGCTAACTTGCCAGCCCCTCGCTTTTATCTAAACAGGCCGATTTAAGCAAAATACAAAGAACTCTAGGGTCTATGCTATCGCACCAAAGAACAGACAGCATAAAGGAAACTATAGGTGTCTTAACAGTAGCTTTACCCAGTGTCCATATGTTGGAAGAGAATTTTCACTGCTGTTGGATGGAAAAAATTTCTTCTCTAAAAACACTCTTCTAGCTAGGGTTTCTAGACTACTTTTAGAAGTGGATTAATATCAGATAATTACAGAAATATAAATATGAATCCTCAGAAGAGCCACTAGCAGACACTTAGGGCCCAAAGCATTTTCAGAAGTGCCCAGACACCTGTGATTATGGGCAGTGCATGATGCATACCCAGACACAGCACTCAGTCTAATGAACACAGGAGATGGCTACATAGTGCAGGTCCTGCAACTCTCTGAGATGGTAAATAATCCAATAACCTTCTGTGAAAAATCCAAAACAAAACAAAAATTAAGGAGACACTGCCATCGAATTGCTATTTTTAGTCTTTATTTTAAAACTCTGAGAATTAAAGGGCAACTTACTTATCAGGCAGAAGGAAGCTGCTCGGAAATCGATACCACTCTTTTCCTACACAGACATTTACAGGTCTGCCTTCTGGGACAGTGTGGATGGTTGGGTCCGTAGCAATTCGGTAAAATTCTGGATACAAATCAAGAGTCCCATGATATCCTGGAAGGGAGAACAGTTAGTGAAAGCCAAATATGAATAAGATTCTATCACTTAATTGTAATGCATGTTAACCTCCCACTGTAGTCCACATGAAATTTAAAGAGTGTGAAGAGCCATAACAATTCCAACAGGAAGCCTACTCTACAAGTATAAAATGTCTCTCTAGTTGGGAAGATGGTTATAGCAGAGGCCCAATTTTGCCAAAAATAATTTGCTTTCTTTCCCTTCTCTACACTCTTTCACATTTTTAACTTCATGTTCTTTGAGCATATTTTAATATTCTGGAAGGCAGCTATGCTCACCACTATACCACTAATGCACTCCATATTTTAATATTCTGTATCCAAATAACAACTATAAGAAAGAATATAACCATGAGAATTTAGCCCCAAATTTGCACCTTAAGTTTAAGGCTTTCTTAATTCATCAGCGTCTATTAAAAGGAAACAAAATCAACCACAGAGGAAAAAATATATAGTTAACACTAAAAGGAATTCTCAATCTTCTCTTCAATCCAGTAGTACAGAAGTGACATCCCACTCATTAATATTAAGTCTACAGTTTCTCCCTTTAGAAAAGGCCTCTTCCTAGCATAAGCCAAACATGCATTAAACAATCATTCGTCAAGTAAAACTTAGGTGAAGTGCCTCATGAGTGTGCGTTAAGATATGCTCAGCACATCTACCTCTGAACAGTGCCACAGAACGAGAAAATGATAACAGCCCAAACAGGAAGACTGTTCCTAATGCCAGCCAGTTCGATGTCACAGTATAGTGCTCCAAGCGGTATCGTTGAAACACAAAATGGTAACATTTCTAGAAGAAAAGAAAACTGTATTAGTAAAAGAAGATATACCTTGCAGGATATACATAATCACAAGACATCACACTAACGCCAAGAGTGAGGAAACAGAAAAAGAGGTTCTCTTAAGGGTCTGGGTATTTGCAAACACTTAGCGAGGTACCCACTCAAAATTGTAAGGTAAAAACCAACTTCTCTAAGACTATCTGGAGGTGAACCCAGCCCGAGGGCTTGCCAAGAATGAAATCTTGCTAGCTTTACAGGAAAATTATCTGGATATTTTGCCAATGCTTAAAGTCCTAATAGCTTATTTTTTAAATATTTAAACAAAAATGCTTTTTTGGTAGTTTTTTTTGATATATTAAGTATCTCAATCTGTTTTAATATCATGAGTATTAATCTTTACCTTCCTTACCAACAAGTTTTCATTAAAGTTTTTAGTATCAACAAAACATCTGATGACCAAACAAGAAGAAAAAAAGAGTTCCTCACATAGAACACTAGGAACATGCTGTTAATTATCTGCTAAACTACTTTACAAACTAAATGATTATAATATATACACACATGCATGAATTCTGCTGCCTTTGAATAACTTCTCAGATTTCTTTTCTTCCTTCTTTCCCTCCTAGATGGGAACTAATTTTGGAAAGTAATTTTGCAATATATAACAAATGCCATAAATATGTTTGAACCCTTTTCCTACTTTTAAGAATCTGTCCTAAGGAAATAATGCAAATACATAAATGAAGATATTTATCCAAGCAGTATTTATAATATTGAATAAATGAGCAACTTAAATTCTTTTAACAATGTAAAGGATTTCCTTTAAATAATTTTGCCTAATGTTACACATAATAAAGTCAATAAATTTTTATTCAAGGAATTTTACATGTTGTGATTCCATCCACAGCCCATCAAGGTCACCTCTAAAGCTTCAGTCAAGATTTAGCTTCAAGATAGCCCTTTTTAAAAAAACTGATGCTTTGGGCTGGCCCGGTGGCACACTGCTACAGTGCGCCGCTTGGGAGCGCGGCGGCGCTCCCGCCGAGGGTTCAGATACCAAATAC